GTTTAACTAATATCTATCTATCTATCTATCTATCTATCTATCTATATATATATATATATATATATATATATATATATGTCACTGAGTGGTGAGAGAATGAAAGTGATTGAATAGTTTTATCTGTAAGGTAAGAAGGTCCAGATAAGGCAGGATGGATTTATGAACTACAGACAGCTAATCAGTTGAAAAGACCAGTGACTTAAAGATCAAATCAAATACCTTCTGATGGCTGAGCACTGCAGCATTGCTGCAGGAATAGCAAATGAGCTAAAAAGCGAAAATGAACCAAAATTGCAAAGACCAAAGTGAAAAAGGTGAGTTTTCCTAATAAACATAGCTTACAAAAAGACACATTTACATAGTATTACTACTCGTCCTGCAGTGCAGAGAAGTATTTAGCTGAAATCAGGTACCAAGTAGAATGACCTAAATCATGCATTTTGATTGCTGGGAATGATGTTTGTATATTTCTGGTGATCAACAAAAAGTCTTTTGTGTCTTTTCACCAAAGAGACTACAAAAAAGATACGTAATAAATAATTTGTAAAATGCAAGAAAGACCTTTACAAGTTAAAATTTCTAAAAGGATCTGTTGGGTGCCATGTGTCAAAGGTGTTTTTGATCAGAGTGTCAGAGCGTCACCAAAGTGACAGCAGCCGATAGAAAACAGACTGAAATGTGTCATTCAGGCTCGGTCTGAACTGTTCAGTGCGTGAGTCGAACTCTACAGCAAACAGCAGCTGCATCAGAGGGGGTTAAAGTACCAAGTGCACTGACGTAAAGGCACACACCTGATAGCACTGGGGGTCTTTGTTGAGAAAACGCTATTTGTCAAAGGTGGAGTAATGAGTGACAACAGAGAAGATTTTGGAAAAGATATTCAAATTAAATGGTCATTTCCAGGTATAGAGAAAAGGCCTTCTGTAATGCCTCCTGTATGACTTTGTATTACTTTTGTATGAATTTGTACTGAGGGTGTCAAGCATACTGGCCTCAGACCAGAATCATGCAGCTACAGGGTTGATTTCAGCTCAGTGGATGGCTTAGCAAAGTGGGACCCTGTTCTGGACTTCTGATTTATTTCTTTGGAATTATGAGATACTTATGTTCAAGTTCTTGAGTGCTTTTAAACTTCGTTATTTCTACTTCTTGGTCCTTGTTTGATTATGTTAGTTCCTCTTTTCCCTGTCCAGTCTGTCCCAGTCTCATCTTTGTCTTGCACAATGTATCCCTTCCTGTTTCCATAATTATCCGTGTTTTATCCTTCTGTCTCCCCCTCTTTCCCGTCTCTGTGTTAAGTTTAGTCTTACTCACTTCCTATTTTATTTTGACAGTTCCTCATCTTGTGTGAATCATGCTCAGTTTTGTTTCCCCTGTTTCGTCAGTTAGATTTTGTTCAGCTGAGTTCCCAGGTGTGTTCACACTGCCCACAATTCCCTCCTGTGTATATATTATCTGCTTTCAGTTCTTTGTAGTCTCCACTCAGATAGTGTGTGAATGGCTGTCTATTAAGCCTTAAGTCAGTTTTGATATTTCGATATCACATCACCATTTTGAAAATTAAATGTTGTCTTTACATACTTTAATATTTATTTTGATTTTATGGTAAACTGCTATTAGGGTCATTTAATTGTTGCATTTTATTTCAGCTGTTGGGCCTTGAATCTTTCCTCCTTGATGGAGTGGTGGATGCCATAAGCTGCTGCTACTGCTGCTTATTTTTGGTGTCTCCTTTCAGAATCAGGCTGTGTAATACTAACTGTGTTAGTGCAGATGGTTGCATGTGGCTGTCCGGGCAGAACACATTTAGGACTGAACACCCTGCTCTTTCTCTGTCTCCCTCCATTACTTCTCCACTTCTTCTTACTTTTTTAGACCACACAATACTGCGCATTCAAGCAGCCACTCACTTAGCTTAACCTTTAGCTGTCTTGTTACAAATTATGTTAGCAAATATGATTTCCCACTGCATTTCTTTTGTTCTGGTATAAGGCTGGCAGAGTCTGTAATTGCAAAAAGGAGAAAAAAAGACATTGCATTCTCAAAAGGTAAGAGAGATGATTGTTGCAGTACTGTAAATTTAGCTGCAGTGATGAAAAAAAGGTGATTTGTTTCATTAGAAATCTCCCACTTTCTGATGTTAGCTGTCTTATAAGTTCATGACTTTGAATGATAAGTTCATTCAAAGTCACAATCAGAAAAATCCAGAATCCAAAATCCAAAATTCCAGTTAACCTAATCCCACTAACTGCGTGTCTTTGTACTACGGGAGGAAGCCTGGAGTACCCGGAGACAACCCACGCAGACACAGGGAGAACATGCAAACTCCCAAAGGTTAGTAAAAACAAATGATTTACTAACAACATGTCTTTGTAATGAAGTATTGGATGTAGATTTGGTGTCTGCAGTGAATATTTGGTCCACATAATGAATATTTGGTCCATATAATGACATATATTAGAACCATATAAGGACATTGCATCAATAATGTGAAATCTAAATTTATTTATTTTTAATGTAAATTTGAAAACCTGATGTGGATGAGTCAAAATAATTCGCTCCACCAAAGGCTCATTGGTCTAGAATTCAAAAGTGAAAAATATTAATGAACACAAACCAAAAGCGTGCATATGAGAGAGGACAGATGAAAAACAAGCATCAATAGATTATAAGGTTGCAACTATTTTAAGGACTCATATGAAACTGCATTAAATGCTGATCTGCTTTCTTAATTGTGCCATGTCTAATCTCTTGATGGTTTGTGGATCAGTTTCCCATAACTGTTCTTGTACTCTAGAGTTTGGTGAACTTTGTATCATCAAAACGGAGCTTTACACTAGACAGGCAATCAGCATACCCACATTTAAGAAGTATATATTTTAGCTCTAGTATATATAGAACTGAACTTAAAGCAGTATATACTTTAATATACTGCAAGTTTAGTATTCTATATATACAAAAAGAGCGCAGTTTTAAACAGCTGAAGTAACCAAACATTTGCACTGAGGAAGCATTATGCTCCTTGTTATTTTTAGGATTCACTAAAACATGTGAGATGTGAAAACTGAGATGAAGGGCTTCTTAGTCAAAGTCAGAATCCAAAAACTGAGCCATGGTGCATAAAGCACAAAAGAGAGAGCTAAAACCATGAGATAAATAAAAAGTTGGTCTTACTTTTTGAAAGGTCAGCAGTGACATCTGGTGGCCGTAAATAGGAGTTGCACATTTTAAGAGAATCTCTGGTTTTAGGCAATGGATAAAAGGAGGCTTGCCTAACTTATAAAAAGAGTCATTTCTTCAGAACAATAGGCCTAAATAAAGTCACTACCTCATATCACAGATTTACTCATTGTTTTCCAATAGATCAATATCTCTGTTTTCAGTGAGTATGAATTTCATTTGTAGACCTATAGACCTGTTATTGTATCCAAAGACTGCAGAATTCATTTGTTTCTGCTCTGCTCAAACAGAGATCTAATACAGAGACTAACCAGACATGTACCTCAGAGCAGGCACTTTTATTTGACTTTTTATGGGGAGGAATCTTCTATTGGGGATGAAAACAGAAGGAGGTTAGTACAGGGTGGGCCATTTATATGGATACACCGTAATAACATGGGAATGGTTGGTGATATTAAAGTCCTGTTTGTGGCACATTAGTATATGTGAGGGAGCAAACTCCTCAAGATGGGTGGTGACCATGGTGGCCATTTAGAAGTCGGCCATCTTGGAAACAACTTTTGTTTTTTCAATAGGAAGAGGGCCATGTGACACATCAAACTTATTGGTAATGTCACAAGAAAAACAATGGTGTGCTTGGTTTCTCCCGTACTCCATATTATCCATTGTTGATCTACACGTCTCTTGCTCTCACCAATGTCACGACACACACAAGTGCCATAAGACACTCTCACAAACAAAATCACGGTTTTGTAATGCAGTAATGCAGCATGCTTATGGGAAAGTAACATCAATCTAATTACTTTTTTGCAACAGTAATCTCTTACTTCTCTAAAAAGGTAATCGGATCACAGTAACACGTTACTTTTAACTCGTTACTGCCCATCTGTGCAGGTAAGCATCCTTAATTTTTCTACAGAATGTAGTTTTCTTTAGATTTTACCTTTTCCAGAAATCCATACATCTCATACATCACCAGAAATACATTCTAGAAACTACCAGAGACCGGAAACTGGAGCACCAACAGCAGTTAAACACGAGTTGAATTTAGGGTAATTATCAATTGTCCTGATTCGTGATACAACAGTAATAATAATGGTTATGAATAGTAACAGTAAAATAATTTTCCATCTCCACACAATACAGGAATGACAACAATCTATTGGAAAGCCAGTCCTTAAATCCACAGTGCCAGTGAGAAGATGAGCGACAGGCGTGGCAGCTGACCCGAGGATGTTGCAGGAGTCAAGAGGAGGCGAGACTACTGCACTCACCGACACACGTCTGCCCACTTCCCACTTCTCAGAGAGAAAAAGAGGAACAGTCTTTCTTTCAGCTTGACAGCTGTTGCTTTCACATTCTTGTTAGTGTTAATTACAGCTGCTGTGAGAAGTCAAACTGTTTTTCATGATCTGGATTTTTTTTCACTTGTTCATTATGAGTTTATGATCATGAGTGAGTGACTGTTTGAGGTCAACAAAGAATCCCTGTGAGTGTCTAAACGCAATGTTACAGTTTATAGCAGATATAAATAGAAAACAAAAATAAATGCACAGACGTTTTAAAAAGGGTTCTTTACATTTATTTTCCTCAGCAGGTTGTTTCATTTGTGAACGGTTTTTAAAACGCTTTTACTGTTGCAAATCGTCGGTGTATAAACAGATTTTAAGGAGAAATGCCTGGAATAATAGATAATGAAACAGCACCAGGTTCAGAGTGAACTGAAAGTGTAAGTGTATCTGAAAGGAAAGAGTCGTTCTCAAACGCCACAGCAGTTGGTTTAAAAACCAGCAACAGGGGTGCCTCATTCTGGTTTCAGCATGAACCGCTTCAAGTACTTGCTTCTGTGTTTCTTCTCTTTATTTATGGTTGGTGAGTATTTTTGCTATTTCCATGAAGCACATTTTCAAAGGTTACTATATACTACGGGGTATAGTATATAGTACAAGTTTATGACTGTACTGCACTTTATATGCTAACCTTAATATGACCACAAAGTCCAGTGTTTACACACTGCTGGTGTACATGCTGTACTTTGTGCCATACTTCTTTTACGTTAACATAGTGGATTTATTTGAATGGAAGCAGACTATAAATTTCAGTTGTGTGGCTCTGTGATCACAAACGTTGTTATCACGATTCGTAACACCAGCGCAAGACAGCATTTCTGCTCAGGTCAAGTTCCCCATTTAGATGTTTGAATTTGGGGAAATGAAACAATCTAAATCCAAATCAAATTGACTCTAGTCTAAGTAAATACATCAACTTTTATACACTGGCCACAAGATTTTTACATGAAGTCTCATTGGTGTGCAGTGTTTTCTTCAGTAATGTTGTCAAAAGGCAGTTTGAAAAACTTTAGTTTTAGCTTTACCACTTATAATGTTTCAGATTAATTTAGCTAATGCTACATTCACATCAGTGACCTCACATGTTCTGTCTATTTTCCTCTATGCAACATTAACCAATTATGTCCTTCTCTTTCCACCCAGTCCATTCTTGTCCATAGTCTCGCTACCTCCCGCCTTGACTATTGTAATTCTCTCTTGCATGGTCTCCCCCAAAAATCCCTCCATAAGCTTTAACTGGTTCAGAACTGCCAGTTAAAATTCTGAATAGTGTACAAGCTTCTTCTGCTCTCCTTCAAGCCCCTTCATAACTTTGCTCCTTCTTACCTTTCTGACCTCTTAAGCACTACTTCTTCTAGTTCACATTTCTGTATAGCTGTATATCTCATATTTCTGTATAGTTTTTTTTTTTTAAATTTCATATTCTGTATAGTTTTTCATATTTATATCCTGTTCATAGATTTTTGGGTAACGGGCATAAACGTTAGAGCACTTATGCAAATATGTGATGTCTTGATGAATCGAGCAGATCTTTGAAGTTTACACAGCACCATTCTTGCATGAAAATATCTTAAAAGTTTATTTTGTGACCCAGAAAGAGTAATATTTCAAACTCGGCCACTCTGTGCTCCTCGTTTGAGTTTTGGACGAAATGGATTCTGGGATATTGCATTTCGTCATTTCGAGCTGATTGGAGACCAGAACAGCCAATCAGATTTTTTTGCTTCCAAGTCTGTGATTGGCTGGTTTTGCAGCACAAATATAACGGTGTACAGAAAGAGTTGAACGCGCACGGGCAGAAATGTTGCGAGCGTGAGCAACACATTGCGAGCGAGCGCAAGTGCAAAAACTGAGCGAGAGGGGCTGCTATTGTGTGTGTGTATGGATAATAGCAAACACTGAAATACAGTTTTTGCACGCAGCAATGAATTTTGTTCACTCAAATTTAGCTTTTCTTCGCTCAAAATATATTTCTCCTCAAAATGCAATACTACATTGAACAGAGTGTGACCTGGATTTACTTGTCCAACCCAGTGGGACAATACCTGAGCATATGAGTGAAAAGCAACTTTTGAATCTGCTTTTCAAGAGCACAGCTGCACAAGCTCCCTGGCGTGAAAGGAGGCCTTATCTTTTCTAAATGTGAGGAAGCACTCTTTTGGCTGGAAGCTTTGCTGAGGGTTGAACTTCTCTGAGCTTGAAAGTGCAATTAAGGCACAGAAAGACAAATCTGTGTCAATTTTTGATGAACCTTTTCTTTTCCTTTTTAGATTGCTCCATTAATGGAGATGGCTACTTCATGTTTGCTGATTTTTGGTGTGCTGTGCACTCCAGAGATCGGGAGAAAGTGGAGTATCTGATCGACTGGTATTTTAACAAAGAGTTTACGATGCAGTACAACAGCACAGTCGGCAAGTGGACGGGCCTCACTCCAGCTGGATTAATCACAGCATCTCGGTTTAATGAAGACAGCTCTGACATTCTGCAGAGAAAAGTGGAGAAACAGCTGATATGTGTCGATAATGTTGATGTAGTATTCAACATAACTGTGGAAAACATGGGTGAATATTCAAATACTAGATGTATGCGTTGCTATCAGTAGAGAGAATATTATATATATAGAATACAAACATTTTCTTCCAAATACAAAAAAAAAATCATGCAATGTGTTACAGTGTTTAATGACAGGAATTACAATGATAAAGCACTAAACCAAAACGCTTGGACAATCTTAAACCTTCCTTTTTTGAAATGACCTTTTCTTTAGTATAGGAAATAAACATATTACTCCTTCCTGTATTTAAAAGGGCTAAATTACCAAACAAATGATCCCAAATTACAGTGCAAGGATCCATTTATGTAGTTTATCATCTTAAAGCAGCAGAACAAATATGGGTGTAATAACCCTCCTATTTTACAATCATTATTGTAACAGTAATACAGCAATTATACTCTAACATTTCAACTGAAGAGCAAAAGCCCCAACTGTACACAGGACTATAAATGATAGCACGAGCCTAAAACTAAACACTTCCATTAGTACTTTATGATTTGCTTGGCCGTGATTCTCGCTTAATACCTTTATTTCAAGTACCTGATAAAAATGTACAATTTTTTTTTTTTTGCATTTAAAAAAAGAATTAAGTGCATTTTCAAAGACTATTGGTTTAGATTTATTTGTTTCATGACAATTTTGAATTATATCAAACCAGGCATCACATTGCAATATTGTAAGAATCACTGGTTCACAGAATGATGAATTTCATTATTAAAGCTGTTGACCTTCTGATTTCAGCTGCACCCAGCATGACTCTCCAGGAGGGAGACCACACTTCCAGCCATGACACAGTACTCGTGTGCAGCGTTTATGACTTCTACCCCCAACACATCCTTGTGACTTGGTACCTGAATGGACAGGAAGTGACTGAGGGTGTGACC